ATATCACTGTTTAAAGGGGTTATGGGTGTAAAGTCTGCTAATGAGGAAGATCTTTGTTTTCCTTAGCAGAGAACACAGAAGTCTAGCAGTAATTAACAATCTTTTGTTACCTTATTTTAGCACCACATCTGTTATTTGTAGAGGGCAGCAATGGTTAACATATCAATTAAGTTAGGTTTTACAATTCTTTACAGAGAAGAGCACTGATTAACATATCAATTAGGTCACCCAGAGGAAAAGGAAAAATGCATGCAGAACAGTAGGCCACATTACAGTATTCAGCATAATGCAAATATAACGAAGCTCTTTTTGCTAGTGTACAGCACCCTCCACCCCAGTAACCTGTTTGCTGTGTCAACTTTTATTCCTGTTGTGAGAGACAAATGTTCTTAGAACTGGCAAACTAAGGGCTATGAGTTGGCTAACCACCCACTGTGAAATGCCTCTGACCTCAAGCAAAGGGGAACAAAGGCCCACCTTGTTTCTGTTTCTCATCACTATGTACTTAATGATGAATGAGCTAATCATAAATGAACTATAAAAATCAGTCAAAATTCTAACTCAGCTGCACAGCTTTGCAAATTCCATCTGTACTGTGTCGCTGGGCCAGCTAAAATAAAAGCGCTTCTTTTAAAAAAATGTCCCGTTTTTCATCTCGGGGGTCTTGCCACATTTTTCATCATGAGGCTTTGTTTTTTGGGTGGGTTACAACACCTGTAATCTCAGCTACTCAGGGGGCTGAGGCAGGAGGAGGGTAAGTTTGAACTCAGCCTGGGCAATTTAGTAAGATGCTGTCTTAAAATAAAAAGGGGTAAATCTGTTATTCAGCGGCGGAGCACTTCTGAGTTTGATCCCCAGTACTGGGGGTGGGGAGAGTTGGATTCTGCGTTTGAAAGACTTCACTCGGGGGCTGGGGGTTTAGCTCAGCGGCATAAGCGTATAAGCGCCTGCCTTGCAAGCAGTCAGTCATGAGTTCGATCCCCGGTACTGATAAAAAGGAAAAAGACAAAAAAAAAAAAAAAGAAAGACTTCATTCAAATGATAATTCCAGAAAAGAGTCTCCTTGGCTGGACACTTTCCCTAATCAGTTCCCATGTCCACAATGAGAACCAATGTCCTTTTATATCAGCCTTTCATCCTGTTTCTTCAGGGAGAGAAATTGAATCCCAGCTTGTAGTTACTTTCTTTCCTTCCCCTCTCTATTCTTTTTGTTTTCCTTTATCCTTTTTGAGACAGGGTCTCACTATACAGTTCAGACTGTCCTTGAACTCACTATGTAACCTGCCTGGCCTTAAACTTCTGGCAATCCTCAGCCTCCAGAGTTCTGGGATTACAAGCATGTGCTATGTCGCCTGGGTTACTTTCAAACTGTTGACAAGCCCTCCTGATAGTCTCAGGTACAACAGATGATCTTTAGTTTCTGTGACATTCTTCACCCTGCTACCATGAACCTTCCCCACATTTGCCATTTAATCATCAAACATGTGCTTTTACACTGCTATTTATCTGTGGTAGCAGTTCAGTAGGCTTGATAAAGATGGTCGCAGTACTTAAGCTGTCTTCCCGAGCATAATGATAACATCTCAACCACAGTTCTGTATAGCCCTGGGCAAATCTTAACTACTCTCCAGTGAGGCTTTCCCTGAAACTAAATAAAATTACCCACGTACAGCACGTAGCACAAGAGTGCTTGGTACTTGTTGATGATGTCGAAGGAGAAAAGTAGACTACTTATTGGGTAGTATTTTTTTTTCCAACCCTATCATCTGTTTCTTTGATCATAAAAACACCCACACTTTTAGAAATCTTCAGGCCTGAAATTTTGCTGGTTTTTTTTTTTTTTTTTTTTTAATCGGTACCAGGGATCGAACTCACAGCTGCGTGCTTACAAGGCAGGTGCTTATGCCTCTGAAATAAATCCCCAGCCTCCCCCACCCCCTTTTTATTTGAGACTGACTTTCGCCACGTAATTCAGGCTGGCCTTGAGCTCACTGCATAGCCAAGGCCTCAGACTTCTGGCAATCTTCCCACTTCAGCCTCCAGAGTGCTGGGATTATGGGCATGTAGCACCATATCTGGCTTAAACTCTGAACGTATTTGTAATATGATGACATGCCATTCTGCTCATGACCAGCTCCTCCTTCCTCATGTCTGCCCAAAATGAATCAGAGGGACATCTTTGGGGACTGACCTTTCTAACTCTGATTGAACTTTTAGCATCCTCTGGCTCCCTGGTATAAGTGCTGGGCTCGGAATTACTAAATAATTGATTGTACCACTTCAGGCCCCCAGCAGCAACTAGTGAGCACATGCAAAGAACGATAACTGGAGGAGGATGTAAAGAGGCTACTTAGAAAAGAGAAGTTACAGACAGGACAGTACCCATATACAACTATGGTGAAACAGTTGTCACCCAACCGAAGGCCACAAGGGAAGAACCCAATGGATAACTAGTCCTACAATCCCAAATCAGAGATTTGTATACAAGGGTCACTTTCAGATGGGTATGAATTTAGACAAGTGAAGCCATGTTGAGAAAACTCTTATAGAGAAAAATCAGAGGGATAAATCCCTTAACCGCACTTTTCTTTTTCTTTTTCTTTTTCTTTTTTTTTTAACCCCATCTATTCCGTAGGAACCGCACTTTTCTTCCTCTAATTTGCCAAATAGAATAGGAAGCCAGAGGGCAAGACTGTTTATTGAGGTCTGCCAGGTCAGCCTGCACAACACACAGCAAGACCCTCCTCCTCCCTCTCCCCCAATCAACTAACCACTAACAATTTATATTGTGCCTCTAGGAAAAATGTTAGGTTTTTGTTCTATGGCTGGATTTTCAAAATCTGAATTATCACTACTCGTGTTAATAGACTAGTCTCTGACATAGTTTGTCTTTGATGATGAACATTCTTCTGAATATTCTGGTATCAAAGCACGCTCTCTGTCCACTGGACAAGAATCACTTGGTGGCCAGTCTGGCTGTATGGGAGGCAGGAAGATAACCATTTGGGCACCACCAGAGAACTCAACTAGCAGGCTATGTGGGTCCTTCCCTCACTAGAAATCCCTGAGAAGGCATTAGAGTACGCTGTCTCCACCAGGTGGAGGTAGAGTAGGGAAAGGTACAGAATTTTGTGGAGAAACCACAGCTCAGAACTGGAGGCAAAATTCCACCTGCCCTACCTAACCTCATCACACTAAAATAAACCTAGAAAGTAGCGTTTAATCTCACTGAGGGGATAAATTAGTAAGAAAAGCCCACAGCCTTCTGAAGACACTGGCACCAGCAGGATAGGGCTCTGCCCCAATTTTTCAATCTGCAACCCTGCCAGACTGGTTCCTAAGAACAGGAAGCATTGGGTGGTCAGCCACAGGGTGCAATTCAAGGGGCTTTAAGAGTGTGCTGGATTCCAAACTATCTTCCCTGCTGACCTAGGATTCTGTCTGAAGTTTCCATCATTCAAGTAAATCTTTTTTTTTTTTTGGTACTCACGACCTCATGCTTGCCAGGCAGGCGCTTATGCCACTGAGCGAAATCCCCAGTCCAAGTTATTCTTTTATGTTAAAAATTTACTGCCCTCTGTTCAAATGCTCTCACTGTGTAAAAGGGTATGGTGTTTAGTTGTTACTCTGTTTGGCATCTCATTACCTTCCCTATGTTTTGAGAACTCCACTGTCTGCAGGAAGCAGAGCCCATCTAGACTCCTCACTCAGAGGTAAAGAATGTCCAGCTAGCCAGGGACACAGCACCTATGGTCAACGAACCATGAACTTGCTCTAGATTGTGTGTTGGTTGACAACACAGAATCTGGGAAATGTTTATTTTGGTGGTAGGTGGCATAGGGGTGGTGATCCTATGGGAGAGGCAGTAGTGCAGAGGGTGGTATTCAATATTAAGTAGTAGCTGCAGTTTTCAGTTATTGTTTCAGCATGGTTGGAACTGTGGTCCTAATTTCAGCATGGCATCCCTTTTGTTCCAGTTCATTTCTCAAGCCTTTCCAGACAGAATCTGGAGTGTCCCAGGATCCTTTTAGTAAACTCCCATGCTGCTTAAACCAGAATTGTGTTTCCTTGCAATTAACTAGGAACACCAGTGAACACACAAGCATCAGACATGTCAACTCAGGACTAGTCACAGATAGTCATTTGTCTAAATGTAGGTCATTGACAGTATAAAAAACAGCAAGACCCCAGGCAAAGGGCTTTTGTTGATGGGGAGAAAATCAGGAGAGTCTGATCTTGAGGGCACTGACTAAGAGCTTTCCCAGAGGACTAGACAGAGGCTTCAGGGTAACATGAAACATCCAAGAAACAAGGGTGGAGAATATCATTGACAGGAAAGATGGGGAAATGCTAGAGCAAAATCTAATGCTATGGAATTACTAGAAGGGCTGCCATTGATGCAATGCAATGTATAGAGGCCGTGTCTTCATTATTTTCCCTAAAGAGGAGCACAGGAAATGTCTACTATTGATTGAAAGAACAGGAAGAGAAGAAGTGAGGAAATTAGTGAGCACAGATGCTAAACATTGGCTAAGAAGCTGTGTTTTTTTTGTGAAGAGTAAGTGTAGAATTTAGCAAACTTCACTCAAAAGCTTTTTTCTTTACTTTTCCTCAGAACAAGCACAGTTCCTGATGTTCAGAGTATTGACTAGACAGACTCTGGGCCAAAAATGTTTAGTTTTTTCATGCAATCATCATGTCTATCCACCAGACATGCCACTGGCCCTTTCCCACTGCAATGTGAGAGGTCTAAAGGTGAGAGGTCTCATATCATGGCAGATCTTCCAGCTGTGCCTTCGGTTCTCATTCTTGGAGAGTCTCCAGAGCACTATCAACCTTCCCAGACTGTGTTCTTGTAGTTGTCTTTGCTGTAGTGTAGCAGAGGATTGTCATTTTTTTCATCTACACAAATGTCACCAAAGGAAGAATACTGAAAAATAATCCAAAGGAAACTACCACAGGACATTACAAAAAGATAAAGAATAAAAAGACTAGCTACATTTGATTTAAAACATATGTGTGACAAGTTTGTCTTTTATTTTCATAGAATGTCTCTTAATAAATATTTTATCAGGATGATGAGCATGAATGACAAGAATGCACGAAAGACTTGAGGGAACAAGGGATGGAAATATTTTACTATTTTAATTTAATCTTCAACTCAAGAGACTCGCCTTCTGCAGAGGATCTTAAAATCTAGCAAAGAAAGTCTCCTATGCAATTATTGTTCGCTTGATTGTGACTGGGTCTTGCCATGCAGTTCATAGAGAGCCTTAACCTCTCTATGTAGCTAAACTGGCCTTGAACTCCTCGGAAACTCTCCCACCTCAGGCTCTTGAGTAATGAGATTACAGGCATATGCCACCACACCCACCCTTTCAAGAGGCAAATTTCTAACTACTCTTGGCACGCAGCCACAGTCAGTATATGGTGGACCAGTGGCAGCGGCTCTTGATTACTTGCAGTAGAGGCTTCTTGAAGGTGAGGACGATGACGGTGCAGGCCACCAGCAGGGTGAAGCAGCTGGGGAGGATGAGCACGAGGTAGAGCAGGCCCATGTCCACCTGCTCCCCCTTGCAGCCCTGTGGTGCACCTGCGGGCAGCTCCACCACGCGGATGATTTTGGAGGAAAGGTTGCAGGTGACCATGGCCCAGTCAGCCACGGTGTCCAGGCGCTGCAGGGCCATTCGGTCGTCCAGTCCGCAGCAGTTGTAGGGGTTCTGGCTGAGGTAGACAGTGTGCAAGCTCCCTGAGAACTGCTCCCACTCGGCCCTGGCGGGCAGAGCGGTGAGCCAGTTCCGCCGGAGATCCAGGGTCCGCAGGGCTGGGCTCCCCTGGAGCCTTGGGAAGCTGGTTAAGCAGTTTCCTGACAGATCCAGTTCCCTCAGATGCTCAAAGCCTGAGAAATCCAATTTGGCGGAGGCGGGGCTGAGGCCCACGTTCCTCAGAGACAGAGCCTGCAATGTGGGGGCAATGGCCCTGAGAGGGGCCATGCTTCCGTTCAGGACTCCCCAGTTGCCAGACAGGTCTAAGTGAGTGAGAGGGGTCCCCTGGAAGGCGCAGTCCTGGAACACTCTTAGCCCACAGTCTTCCAGAGATAGCCTCCTCAGAGACACCATATTCCGGAAGTCCACGCAATTGGGGGCGCTCTGCTGTTTGGAAGGGACCGGAAGCGGAAGTGGTACCTGAACCGGAAGCGGCCTGGGACAAAGAGAGATTTGATTATGGCTCAGATCAATGGTAGTGAGGTTATTGGCATCTGCAAAGAGGCCCGCGGGGATGCCCAGGAGCTGGTTGTCGCTCAGGTTGAGCAGGCGGAGGCTCCTGAGACAGCCAGCGAGGCCCGCGGCCAAGTGCAGCTCAGACAGCATGTTGTGGCTCAGGTCCAGCTCTGCCAGGGCGTCCACGGGCTCACGCTCTCGAAAGTGCAGCGTGGCTAGGCAGTTCCGGTTGAGGTTCAGGTGGGCCAGGGAGGGCATTTTCTTCAGAAAGCCTTCAGGCAGGTACTGGAACTGGTTCTGACTCATGTCTAGGAAGCGAAGAGCTGCTAGGTCGCTGGAAGCAAATTCCTCCCAGAGGCTGACGGTAGTAACATTGGTCACATTGCCATCCACCAGGAGGAACTGGGCCACCATCTCCTGTGGGGAGGAGGTGTTGTACAGGTCCTTGTAGAAGCCCATGTCATTGTCCTGCAGCAGAAGGCTGTGTAATTTGCTGCGCGGGGGTAGGAGAGGGAAAAACAACAGCTGGTTGTGAGACAAGTCTAGTGTCTGCAGCTCAAAAGTGGTCTCTTGCCTGGATGCCAGGAACCACTCAAGGCTGTTGTAGCTGACGTTGAGGACACGCAACTGGGAGAGGCCAAAGTCCACGATGCAGGGGAGGTTGTTGTAGGCCAGGTTGAGGCGTCTCAGCTCTGTTAAGCCATCAAAAGCGCCCCCTTCTATCTCAAAGATATAGTTCCTCTGTAAATCCAGTTCCCTGAGGTTCTCCAAGCCCTCAAAGACAGACTCATCAAGCCTCATGAGGGTGTTCCTGGCCAGAGACACAGCCTCCAGGGAAGAGAGGTTCTGGAGCATGAGGGCCGCCATGTCTTCCGTCAGGGAGTTCCCAGACAGGTCCAGCTTCTGCAGCCCCTGCAGGGTGCGCAGAGCAGCTGCTGTCTCCTTGTAGTTCTCCGAGAGGCTGTTGTCGGCCAGGCCCAGGCTGATCAGGAGGCCTTGCTCCTGGAAGGTATGGTAGCCAATACGCACCAGCTGGCAGCTGCGCAGGTTGAGGCTCTCCAAGAGAGGATACGGCCGCAGGGAGTGATTCCACAGTGTCCTGAGTGGGTTGGCGTCCAGGATGAGCACCCGGGTGTGAGGCGGGAGGCTGGGGGGCACCGAAGCTAGGTTCTGCCCTTGACAGTCAGCAGTGACACCCACCTAGGTTCAAAAACACATGAGTCAGCGGGAAGTGTGTCTTGAAGGTGGAAGTTTATGCATAGGAACTTTATTCACTTACTGGATTATCCCTGCAGCCACTGGGAATTGCTCTAAAGATCAGAATGCTTTAAAGGACCAAAATATATAATAGGTATTGTAAAATAGGAGGAAAGTGTTCAAATGGTGAGGGGAACAAGGAAAGGGGAGGGGAAAGTAAAAGAGAAAAGTAAAAAAAAAAAAAAAATGAGAAAAACCTTTGTAAATGCGGAGAGGAGGTGTTGAAAGGAGTGTAGGGGAATGGGGAAAAAAACCCAAATTGTATCATGTATAGGAACAAATTCTCTATGATAAATGTGATCATTATGTATATCTAAAATGCACCAAACTGGACATGGTAGCATATGCCTGTGATCCCAGCACTTGGGAGGCTGGACAGGAGGATCCCTGTGAGTTTGAGGGCAGCCTGGGCTACAAAGTGAGTTAAAGCCCAGCTTAAACTGCAAAGTAAGACCCTGTCTTAAAAAAGATTTAAAAAAAAAAAAAAAAAGAAAACCAATAAAATATAATTTTTAAAAAAGTAATATCATTCATTTCTATAGGCTGGTCATTAAGAACAGGCCCAGCAACAGCTTGAAATTGTGGGTTCAGTCCCTGGGACAGGTAGAACAGGGAGAAAAGTCCTGAGGGAGAAGCAGCCCAGGTTGGAGCACTGGTCAGCCCTGCCACATACGAGCCTCAGACTCTGGCAAGAACTCACCTTTGGAGCCTCAAGATTCTTAGCTGATTTTTAAAACAAGACCTTCTAATAATTAAAAATTGACACTGTACTGAAAAATAGAAAATGAACTCCGCAGTAACCTCATCCTCTCAGAGAAATGCCATCAACTCTGTTACATCTTGTAGTTCTCTTTCCTGGGACAGGGTCTCCTTATGCAGTACACACTGTCCTTAAACTTGCTTATGTAGCCCAGGCTGTCCTCAAACTCACAGTGACCCAGCTGCTCCAGCCTCCAGAGTACCAGGATTATAGGTATGTGCCACCTTCTGTATCTTTTCCAAAGATATTACCTATTTCTTTGTTTGTTTTGTTTTTAAGAAAAATGAAAGCATACTCTACATACAAGCTGTTTAGTAATCAACTTTCCTCCTTTCCATAGTGTGATATGTTGCCTTGGCAGTAAAAATAAATTTCAGCACATTCTTTTCGGGAACGGAATAGTTCAGTGCATGAATAACAAGTATTCCAGATCACTTTATTTTGCTTCTGATTTTGTTGTTCTTTTTGTTTTGGGTTTTTTGAGATAGGATCTCTATATAGTTCAGACTAACCTTGACTCACTATGTAGTCCAGGCTGGCCTTGAATTCTTGGTGACCCTCCTGCCCCAACCTCACAAGTGCTGGGATTACATGTATATGCTGCCATGCTTGGTGGCTCTGTTTTGTTTATTCATTTTGATGTTAGGAATTCAATGCAAGGCCTCACACAATGCTAAGTGTGTCCTCTGCCTTTAAGCTACCATTAAGCTCCTTGGCTTTGCTTTTTATCAAGTAAGTGACCCTGAGATGGCTATCTAACCACAAGGATTTTCATTCCTGTCCTGAAAAATGGAAATTATGCTTGTAGTTTTTTCGTTTTACTGGTATTGAGTATAATTGCATGTATAAAACATTTATTATGCCTAATAAGTATTAGCTATAATTATTAGCATGATCTACTTAATAAATGTTAGCTACAATTAGCATAATTTAATTAATTAATCTCTCAATTGAGCATTTAAGTTGTTTTCATTTTGCAGGTAGACATCAGAATGAATTCGTTGTGTTCCTTCCATTCCTCTACTCCCCCTAAAAATGTATTTGGAAGCTTGATTGGGGTTGTAATACCACTATGGATTAATTTGAGGGAGAACTTATATTTTATAAAATTCAATCTCCCTATTCAAAGACAAAGTTATATTTCTCTCTCTCTCTTTTTTTTTTTTTTTTTTTTTTTTTTTTTTATTGGTACCAGGGATCGAACTCACAACTGCCTGCTTGCAAGGCAGGCGCTTATGTCACTGAGCTAAAGCCTAGCCCCCAAAGTTATATTTCTTTATTTGAGTAACTTTTGGTCTCCTCTCTCCCATGGGGATTCTCTGGAAAGTGTTGCGGTTAGGGGCTTTCCTCGAGCTTGGGAGACCTTGTTCTATTACCAGTGCTGTGGTCAAAGGGTCAGACCTTGGTAATCCCCTGTTGATACACTAAAGTGCCACACAGAACTACAAGGACATTAGAGCCTCAGAAAACCTTATCATGTTGACTTTCACATCAAAAGACTGATATAATGAGGAACAGCGGAAGGCACCTGGACTCTCAAACACATGGTCCTGAAATTACAAAAGCTAAAGGAAGCCGGGCATGGTGGTGGGCTCTGTAATCCCAGCCCTAGAAAGGCTGAGGCAGGAAGATCACCATGAGTTCAAGACCAACCTCTACTACCCAGTGAGTTCAAGGTCAGTGTGAATTGCATGCAAAACCCTGTCTCAAAAAAAAAAAAAAAAAAGAACCAAAGGAAATCCACTCTTTGAGTTCTCTGTCAGAGTCAAGCCTAAACCCTGAAAAATCACAGAACTTGTGCTTTATTCCCTTCTCTTCCTATGGTGGGTGACCCCTGATTGCCCTGTGAGGGTTTTGTTGCATTTGTAAGGGAATGGTGGAGATCAAAGTAGCAGAGATTAATAACAATACTAATGATAATAAATAAAATACAGAGCACTCGCCCCAGACCAGGTGCTGGCCTCAGTGCTTTACATACAATAACTCATTTAATCACTACAGGACCCAAGTGTTGTGGTATCTTTCATAGGTGTTATTATCACTTCTATTATTACAGATGAGGAAGCAGTGACCTGAAGTGGCCCAATGTCACCAACTAATCAGTGGTGGGCTGGGGTTTAAACCTGCTCCATCAGGTTTTAACTGCTACATACTGGAGTGTCCTCCAGCCTGGGGGTTAGTGGTTACTAAGAGTGGTTCAGAACCATGTGGTTAGTTTTTTAAGATTAATCAGCTTTAGAATACATTCTTTTCCCAGCCCCCACAACAAACAAATAAAAGAAAGAATTACTGCTTGTAAGCATTCGCCCTGAAACCCAGTTTAGGTCCCAGTGCCTCGGGGATCTCGGGGGTCAAGGAGTGTTTATTAAATGCACGTTCCTCAAGCATACTTTTGATATCACTGGGTTATAAGCAAGGAGAGAGGTTCTGGAAATGTGCTGAATTGTGACCCAGGCCCGTTTCCACATACAAGCCGAGAGCCGCAGAGAAGGCCACTGTCAAGGTTCAGGAGTCCACTGCCTGGATCTTCTTAGCGAAGCACAGCCCAGGGCAAGGCTGCTCTAGGCGCGGTGTGGGAGGCTGCTGGCTATGGGCTGGCTAAGCATCTGCTGTTGGCTTGTGTACCATCACAGAGGCAGGGCTGCTCCCGCTCTACTTCTGGTGCTGCTCAAACTATTATCAAGTTTTTTTACTTTTTTTTTTTCTGAGAAGTGTCTCACTATGTCACTCAGGCTAGCTTTAAACTCACTGTGTAGCTCAGGCTGGCCTCAGACTTGGCAGCGATCCTCCAGCTTCAGCCTCCTGAATGCTGGGATTGCAGGCACATACCACCTCATCCAGCTAACAAGATGTTCTTGTGCCAGATGGCTGACCTAGGCTTGTCACAGGGGCCTCCTGCTTGCAGTAAGTATGAGAAAGGAGGGGCAGGGGTTGCCAGGGTTGTTTTTCTCAGGCATCATCTTGAGGACCTCAGGTACACGTGGCATTGGGCAAGGTGGGTACAGAGTGCATCAGACCCATGGCTGCTGTCCTCCTTCACTAACAATGCATCAGCCTTCCGGGCAGACCAAACCTTGCCGGGATAGGAACGAAAGAGAAGTTAGGCTTTGAAGAGAGACTCACCAACTTGCAGCCCCCTTGGAAAGCTGCTGTGGCGGCCCCACTTCCATTCTTCCACTGCAGGGTCGAGAAGTGAAAACCCAGGCAAAGCCACAGGGGCAGCAGCTCCATCTCAAGTGCAACACTGTGGACAGAAGCAGGGAAGAAGCAGTGAGACAAGGACATCCCAGAAGGCTGCTTTGCATTGGGTAGGAGTCAGTTCCCAGTGAGGTCTGGTCTCAGAGGCCCATAGCTCATGGAGGTGGAAACCCACACATTATTCAAATCACCCATGTTAAATAACACTTTCGGCTGGGTGTGGCGTTGCACACCTGGAATCCCAGCATTGGGTAGGCTGAAGCAGGAGGATTGTTGGGAGTTCGAGACCAGCCTGAACTGCAAAGTGAAACCCTGTCTCAAAAAGACAAAACAAACAAACAAACCAGCACTTTCCATGAACCTATTGAAAGAGATCGTTTTCATTTTGCCTTTGCCATTTAATGGACAGGAAACTGACCTCTGAAGCTCTAGAGTCTAGGACGAAAGGAGAAACAAAGAACTGAAAACAGGTCTTAGGACACCTGGAGTATCGCTTGCTTTGTAATTCTGTGGAAGTTTTCCTCCCTCCAGTTTAATTCAGCCTGGTGTACTGCACAAGTTCAATGCGTATGTGCGGAGGAACTGGCCGTGGTGGTGTATGCTCTAATCCACAGCACTCAGGAGGCTGAGGCAGGAGGATCATCAAGAGTTCCAGGCCAGCCTGGGCTACATAGTGAGTTCAAAACAGTCTGAACTGCCTAGCAAGACCCTTTGTCAATTAGTTAATTAATTAATTAATTAAGAAAGCATAGGGGCTGGGGGTTTAGCTCAGTGGCATAAGCACCTGCCTTGCAAGCAGGCGGTCGTGAGTTCGATCCCCGGTACCGATAAAAATGAAAAAGACAAAAAAAAAAAAAAAAAAAAAAGAAAGCATAGATCTGGGGGTTACAGATATAGCTTGGTAGGTACAGTGCTTTCCTAGTATGTCCTGGGTTCAATTTGATACAGTTCACACAGAGGAAGAAAAAGAAAAAGGTCTCGATGGTTAATGCACTTGAACATAGCACTTTGAAAGAAGAATTTTTTCCAGGCATTATGGTATGACGAGTTCAAGGCCAGTGTAGGCTACATAGCAAGACCCTGTTTTGAAAAAGAAAACAGAAGAATTTTGATATTTCCCCTGGGTAGAGGAAAAAACTCGACAAAAAAAAAATGACCTTCAGATATAACAAAGATCACTGATAAAGGGTGGCCCTCAACCCTCTCGCCTTGCCAGGGCACACAGAATAGTAATCATGAGGAGGCTTGAAATGGCACCTTTATCAGCAGAATTTTAGAGCTGAGAGGAGCCGTGCAACCTTCTCTACCTCCATCACATTTTACCGAGGAAACAGACAAAAGCCCAGAGGTCATCAGGGCCTGTTAAGGTTCCAGGTGAACTGAGTGACAGGGCCAGGAGCAGCTCTAGGACCCATTCCCTGCGTTCCAGGATGAGTAGGCAGAACCTTCTCCCCTGTGTGCACCATGGCGCTGACTGCCCTCCTGTTGGGAGAGCTGGGACTTGTGGCTTCCCCTCAGCTCTGATTCCTCAGCATTCGGACAAGCACCCGGCCTGCATTCCATCTGCTCCATCCACTCACACATCTGCTGACCCTCAAGGCTGCCTTCTGTCCCTTCCTCTTCCCCTCTTCACCCACCTCAAGTTTACCCATCTCGAGGACTAATTTTAACTTCCTGGTAAGATCTGAACACTCCCCGGTGAAAACAGCACCAGAAAAGCTAAGTGAAACCAGGTGAGTCAGTCTCAGCCTTCACTTAAGGCCAGCTCACTTCTCTGGCCCCGGGAGAGAACCTGTGATTCAGAACCCAGCTTGCTGGATCCGGAATCCCCTCCAAGCCCTCCTTCTACTCCTGCAACTGTGCAGGGATTACGGCCTCCCGGCCTTCGGGGACACAGATGGCGAAAGCACAGCCAAGTGGGCTCCTTCCTGTGTTCTGATTCCTCCCACACATCCTGGGATCACCGCCCACCTTGATCAACACAAGGCTGCCAGATTTAGCAAGTGCCAAGACAGCATTTGAATGTCAGACACACACTTATGCTAAAAAATTATTTATCTGACATTTTAATTTCACTGGCTGTCCAATGTTGTTTTGAAGAGAGATGGGGAGATGGGAACGGAAGACAGACTTCCTCTCTGTGTCAGCCTGGGCTGGAACACGGGGCTGCCACTGAGGGGCTGAGTCCCGATGGGTAAAGGGCAGGAGCGAGGTTGCTGAAGTGCAGTGTAACTTCAGATGAGTGCTGCACAGCCCTGGCATCCCCCTTAGGAAAGTAGTTTGCACCTGTGGTCACAAAGAATTTTGCAGATATAAAATATACCCTCTCCTTCCTCCTAAATGTAGCCACCCAACTCAGGAAAAAAAGTCAAGCCTCATCCCAGAGCAACTCTTTCTGGCCAGAAGCAGTGGAATACGGTGGGAAGGTTACTTTGAAAACTGACAGCCCAGAGTTTGAATTCTTGCTATATTATTTCTTTGTTTTTTTTTGGTCTTTTTCATTTTTTATGGGTACCGGGGATCGAACTCACGACTGCCTGCTTCCAAGGTAGGAGCTTGTGCCGCTGAGCTAAATCCCCACCCCCTATTTCTTATTTATACCTGAGCAATTTGTATAGTCTCCAAGACTCAGATGACCCTTCTATAAATAAGGGATAATACAGCACTCGGGAGGCTGAGGCAAGAGGATCGTTGTGAGTTTGAGACCGGCCTGGGCTACAAAGTGAGCTCACGGCCCGTGTGTACTGCATAGTGAGACCCTGTCTCAAAAAGACAAAAAAAAAAAATAAAATAAAAAAAATAATAATAACTATTCACAGAGCTTTATGAGAATCACATAGTGTAATATACATGAAAGTGCCCTGTTAACTGTAAATGTACTTAATAACATAAATATTATTTTTGAGTTTCAGACACTAATGAGCTGGAGAAGTGGTTGTTGTTCTTATGATCTTCTCCAAGATAAATCAACAGCTACACAAAGCAGGGGGAAAAAAGTGAATAATTTGGCTGGAGGGATGACTCTATCATGATACTAATTAAACAAGTAAAAGGAAGGTTGGGTTAAAAATTTCACACTGATGACTCAGGAACACATGACTAGTCCCAGGGACAGATGACTATGCGGGCTGAGAGCTGTTTGTCCTCATTCTGCCCTTCTCCCAGTGGCAGGGCTGGCTTCTTTCTCTCTCTTTCTTTCTTTCTTTCTTTCTTTCTTTCTTTCTTTCTTTCTTTCTTTCTTTCTTTCTTTCTTTCTTTCTTTCTTTGTTTTTCTTCTTTTCATGGTACCGGGAATCAAACTCAGGACCTTATGCTTGCCAGGTAGGCACTTACATGCCTCAGTTACTCCCCAGGCCCAGGGCTGGTGTCTGAGCGCTCATCCCCAGACAGGTCAGCTGGCCTCCAGCACATTTGGTCAGTGGGACTCCCCGAGGAAGCAGAGACATCCTGGGGTTTCTCCTGGTGACTCCGACACTCTGCTCCCCCTATTCCTTTCCTCCTCGCCTGACCTTGGGAAGTTGCTAATGTCTCATCGACCATCTTTTTATCTGTTTGGCTTCTTGACTGTCCTGCCACGTGCTACCAGTTTCCTGCATGAAATCTCCTTCGATTCAGGCAATCTGGGTGATTTTTGTTTCCTGGTTGTGTTATTCTCGATTTTACCGAGAACGGCCTTGAATTTGGCAGTACACAAAATCACATAATGACTCCAAAAAGAAATAAAAGACCTTCAAAATAGTAACCATTTGGTTAAGAAATACCCTTGTAGACTGTGTAGCTGCAGAAAGCTTCTGCAGAGTCACAGTCCTGGGAAGAGTCCAAGACAGACAGCTTGGGCACCAGAGGCCTCTCTTCCTTCCCACCCCCTCCACCTGCTAGAGCAGCCTGTGGACACAGGAACCTCTGAGCTAAGAGAAATGATCGCAAGTGTTACGCATATATTATCACTGCATGGGGAACTTCGCCCTCAAAAAACCAGAAAAGCTGAAAGGCTGCAAGTCAAGAGAGGTAGTGGGGGATCTACCAGGGTGCTTTGTATGAGGGTCACTATGGATGAATTGGCCTGGGAAGGGACTCTGCAGAAGCAGGGTACACAGGAATACAGTAACAGTGTGACGGTGACACCCATAAATAAGCTGTATAAATGTGGTGCTCAGTTAGGTAGAGTTCTACAAGTCAGCCTTCCTCCTCTTCCTTCTCCTCCTCCTTCTTCTTCTTCCTGTACCAGGGATAGAACTCACAACCTCACCCCTGCCAGGTGGGCACTGATTAAGCTAGCCTTCTTTTAAGATGCCGTTCTCAGCTAGAATCTTTCCAAGAAAGGGAAGGACAGAGAATTAAGAATCAAACTCCAGTCTGTGACCACTGCAAACAATTTCTGCTACCAAGTATCATTTGAAAGACTTTGGTTTCTCTGGTTCTTAGCAAAAAACATTAGGGTAACTTTAACCTTCACCAAATGTCCAAGCTTAGCATCTCCCCAGGAGAAGCCACCTGACAGAGTCTCCTGGAGTGATATGTTGGAGAGACAGATGACCATCCCAGCTGTCCTCTTGCCAAAGACGTATGCCCCAAGCCCAGTCATGATCCAACAGATCCAGGCAGTATGATGTCATACAAGTCAGCTGGTGACAACTGACATGGATTCTTCAAAAGAGTCAAAGTCTTGCAAATGAAAGAGCCAGTTATGGTGGCACATACTTGTAATCCCAGCACTCTGGGAGGCTGAGGCAGAAGGATCACAAGTTTCAGTTCAGCCTGGACAATTTAGCGACTTAGCCAGACCTTGTCTCAAAATAAAAAATGCTGATGATGAATCTCAGTGTGAAGGCCTTGGGTTCAATCTGGAGAGACTAGGGGGCCAGGAGTGGGTAGAGTGGTGGTGTCTGTTCTAGATTACAAGTAAGAAGCATAATAACTAAATGGAGTGCATGACTGTTGAGTGGGTTTTGGATTTCAAAGCGCTCTGAATGAAGTCAAGCATAGTAGCACATACCTATAATCCCAGCACTTGGGAGGCTGAGGCAGGAAGATGGCTATGAATTTAAGTCCATTGTGAACTACACAGAGAGACCCTATCTCAAAAACAATTTCTGAAAGAAAATTTTCAGACAGGGAGGTGTAAATATGTACCAAATGATGTGTTTGCAGATGGTGATACACAGATGGCATTACCAGATTATTGCTAATGGTCTGATAATGATGCGTGGTTACATGAGGAAGTACTCTAATGCCTAAGATATGCATGCATTTAGAGGCAAAGTTTCCAGATGTGTAGTAATTTATGTAACCTGCTTTCAAATGGTTCAACAGGGAAAGCTGAAGCAAAATACTACCAATTGGCCTTTTTATTTTCTGCAAATTTAAAAAGTTTCAAAATGAAAAAAATAATGAGGACTATGAAATAAATGCTGGAGTTTCTAAAGAGGGAGACAAAATTATAGTAGGCTTTGTCTCAAATTTTCCAGGAATTTTTATTTGGTCTTTTTCAATATTTTTTTCAGGAAGACACTCAATAAGCACTTGTTAAATTAGAAGTGTATATACACACAAACCGTGAAAACCGAAACATTTTGGCATTCACACTAGTGCTCCCAGGTGAGTCGTTCTGCCTGGCAGGAGCACGAAGTGTTATGTCATATGTCTGGGCTGCAGCGCTGGCAATGCAGTTGATGAGCTAAAATACTTTCCACATTGGGGCTGGGGATTTAGCTCAGCGGCATAAGCACCTGCCTTGCAAGCAGGCGGTCGTGAGTTCAATCCCCGGTACCGGCAAAAAAAAAAAAAATAATAATAATAATAATAAAATAAAATACTTTCCACTGTCAGGTCGATAGCTGCCACCCCAGCCCCACAGTCACCTCTGGAAGATGAGTCCCCCGGAGAGTCACCTGACTTGCCACCACCACCAAGCTGCTAGCATCACGGTGGGGAAGCACCTGACCAATCCTTACATGACTGGAGCCCTGGCTGAGGTCACTAGCACGGGGAACTGGAGGTAAGGGACACGCAGAGACAGCACAGAGATGAATTCTTTTAGGATCTTCTATGGAGAAGCAGGTACCATGAGGGAGAAAACAAGCCTTTTTTTTTTTTTTAATTACTTTTTAACTTTTTATCGGTTCCAGGGATTGAACTCACGACTGCCTGCTTGCAAAGCAGTTGCTTATGCCGCTGAGCTAAATCCGCAGCCCCTGAAAACAAGCCTTTTGAACAGAAAAGAATAAAACAGCTGGGCACAGTGGCTCATGCCTATAATCCCAGCACAGGGCGGGGGGGGGGGGGGGGCCTGAGGCAGAAAGATCAAGCCATTTGGAGGCCAGCCTGGGCTACATAGCCAGACACTGTCTCAAAAATAAACAAATAACAAATAAAATAAACAACAACAAATAAACAGCAACAACAAAACTACTGACAAAAGTCAGGAGAGGGCAGAGAGCAGAGAAGTAGAAACAAGCAGAATGACAAAAGGACGGACCGCACTGGAGGGAGACAAGATGGAGAGAATGGTTTATTGGGCAACCTGCGGGGGCTCCAGACTGCTATTCACGTGGCAGAGCCATTTTCAAACTTCAGGTTTATTCACACTAACTACCCTCTACCCAGCCCAGGAGCTGGCTCAAAATGGAACAAGATAAATCAAATTAAAACAGGACTTGGGGGCCGGGGATGTAGCTCAGCAGCACAGAGCCTGCCTGGCAAGCGTGAGGTTGTGAGTTTGATTCTTGATACCAAAACAAAACAAAGCAAAACAGGATTTGGCATATTTTAGAGAAAATATCTGAAAGAGTATCCTTCAGAATCTCAAAGGTGGGAATAACTTCCATATCTATATTTTTGCTTCTTTGTATTTTCTAATTTTCAACAACCAACTTCAATCATTATATAAAGAGAGTTTTAAAGGTGTATAATAAATGTATTGTACCTTAAAAGTTAAAATATCAGGCCCTAATAAATATCACTGAAGTGTGGAATTTCTTATTACTGGGAGTGTGCTTAACAAGATTATGTTTGGAGTTAGTGAAAAAGAAAGGAACACTGACGGATGATTAAACTTACTATGGACAACACTGCTTTGCATAGTGTGGATTACAGTGTGCCGCCACCTCTGGCTTGGAAAAAACTCTTGTTTTTGTTTTCATTTTGCTATGTTTTTTGGTACCAGGGATCGAACTCACAACCTCATGCTTGCTAGGCAGGCACTTGTGCCACTAAGCTACATTTCCACACCGGGTGTGGTAGCACATGCCTGTATCCCTGCTCTCTGGGAAGCTGAGACAGGAGGATCCCAAATTCAAGTGTAGCCTGGGACAATTTAGCTAAAAAAAAATTTTTTTTTAATTAAAAATCTAGCAGGGAGCTAGAGGTGTCACTCAGTGTGAGGGCCTCAGGTTCAATCTCCATTACCCCTACACACACACACACACACACACAGAGAGAGAGAGAGAGAGAGAGAGAGAGAGAGAGAGAGAGAGAGAGATAGTTCAAAAGGTCTCTGTCCCTCCAGTCCCGCGGGTTTTAACACACCCAGCAGGGGCAGATCGCTGCTTTGGAAGCCGCTGTGGCTTTGGCCTCTGGGACTCAGGTCCCCTTGGCAAGTGAGCGAGGAGCTGCGGCAGAGCGCTCGTGGAGCGTGGGCCTGGGAATCTGCGGGGACAAGGCCGGCGGCCACACAGCCCCACAGGCATCCGCACTGCGCCGTCCTGCTTGGAGCCCACTCAGGTTGATGCAGGCTCTGCGCCGGGTTGGAGCGAGGATCCGTGGCCCAGGGGAGTCGGGCAGGGCTTCTCCAGCACCAGGCAGACCTCGGTCCCACCCTGAGCCGCTCCTGACCTGACCCTGAGACCACCGACAGTGGATCCCTCTGGTCACTTCCAAGAGGGAGGACACCCACACCGTGTTCCGCACAGAGGAAGCAGGGCGAGCTGTAGCGCAAGGGACCCTGCACGGGGCAAGACACCTGGGTCCTTCACCTCAGTGGCGGCTGTAGGTCACACCAGCCATGTGACTTAAAAGAGCGGTGTCACAAAGGAACAAGAGAATATACATGAAGAAGCTCTGTCCAGGTGAGGGTGAGCTGGTCGCTCTCCTTAGCTAAACCCCATGACACCCGTGGTGTCTCTCTGGGAAAGACCCTGCCATCTTCACCTAACAAACTCCTACTCATCCTTATAGGCCTAACGCCTGGATCACTTCCTTGTAGTGCCTTATTCAGTTGAGTAATAATCTCATAATCAATATACTATGAACAGGAATTTATAGCTTCTATGAGAATTTTTGGATTTTTTGTTATTTAACATTTAAATTTAAGGACAGGAATATGAGAAATTACTAGGTATCAATAAGTTAACTTCACCCCAATATTTTAGCATGATTTTTTTTTTTTTGTTTTTGAGACAGAGTTTTACTATGCCATTCAGGCTGGCCTTGAGCTCACTTTGATGCCCAGGCTGGCCTCGGCCTCACAGTGTTGGTCAACAGGTGTGCAACTCCATGCCAGCTGTCACAATTTTACCCTTTGCAAAAATCCCTCAAATTAAGCTAGCAGGGGCTGGGGGTTTAGCTCAGCGGCGTAAGCGCCTGCCTTGCAAGCAGGCAGTTGTGAGTTCGATCCCTGGTACCGATAAAAACGAAAAAGACCGAAAAAAAAAAAAAATTAAGCTAGCAACCTATTGTAAGGCTGATTTTTTCCTAGAATTTATTTGACTTCACAAAAGATTGGGAGTATTATGATTTTTTTAAAAAAAATCCCTAAATAATAATAATTATAATTTTTAGAGAGTTCTTGGATAAAGCTGACTAAATGGAGTTTTAATCTAATATTCCTGGTCAGCAGTAGACTAGCACTTGGTCTTTTCCTCCCCCTTGCCAGACAGGCACTTACGCCGCTGAGGTCAATCTCTGGCCCTCGAACAGCACTTGGGTAGCTTGGTTTAGATGCTTGCCAAGATCACACAAAGCCCTGTGAGTCATTCTAGCACCACAAAATAATCAAAATCATAATCATAATGGCATCTGAAGTTGCGAGGGCATCTTACAGACGTTAGATCTCATTTAATATTTCCAACAGCTGCATGTAGTAGGAATAATTTTCAGTTTTTATTGTGAAAAAAGTACACATATATTACACGCAAACTTTAACTTGCGTGTGTGTGCAGTGCAGGTAGACCCAGGAGCCCTCTGCCATTGAGCTACAGCTACTTTTCTTCTGCTGTTTACATTTGGAAACAGGGTCTTGCTAAGTTGCTTTGACAGATGAGACTAATTTGCAGTCCTTGTGCCTCAGCCTCCCTCAGTGCTGGGATTACAAGTGTGTGCCACTCCACCTGGCTTCACCGTAGCTCTTACATGTATCAGTGCATTGACCACATTTACACTGTAGGTGGCCAGTGCAATCATTTTCCCAGCACCCAGAATTTTCGAAGCACCCAGATTGAAATGCTGGATCATCGAATTCCCTGGACACGAAGAAAAAAAAAAAAAAAGAAATGCTGGATCTGTCGAACAATAATTTCCCAGCCCGTGGTAACCACTTTTCTTTCTCTATGATTTCGCCTGGTCAAAGTTCTTACATGAATGGATTCATGTAGTATTTGTCCTTTTGTGTCTGGTTTATTTCACTTAACTCAGTGTTTTCAAGTTCCACCCATGTTAGAATGTATTGTCAGAAATTCCTTCCTTTTTTATTTTTTCTTGTGGTACTGGGAATGGAACCTAGGGCCATCCCACTGAGCTATACTCCCAGCTCCTTCCCACTTGCCTTTTTAAAAAAAACTGAGACAGGATCAGCCTTGTTAAGTTGCCTAGGCCAGGGTCAAACTTGAGATCCTCCTGCTTCAGCCTCCTAGCATGCTGAGTGGGATCAATACAAGTGTAAGCCACCATACCCAAGTCATTCTTTTTTAAGGCTGAAATGGAACATATCACATTTTGTTTATACATTCGTATAATGCTGCTGTATTTGAACATGGGTCAGCAAATATCTGGTCAAGTCCCTGGTTGTTATTTTCATTTTATAGATAAGAAACCCAAGACTCAAAAAGACTGCTAGTTACACAGACCACACAAAGCCAGAGGTACCTTCAGGCCCAGATGGGTGACACCAATGGGCCCATGTCCGGGGGCTGAGTCCTTGAGTACTCATCTAGGCACACAGGAAGGAAAAAGCGAGGCCCCAAGGGGATACGGGCCGGCAGGAGGGACAGGGCTGCCCTGCCCCGCAGACTCCACCCCGGAAGAGCAGAACGCGCAGGCAGCCAGCGGAGAGCAGAGCCCCTTATCTTTCTCGGAGATAGCAGAAGAAAGTGGCGGGGGCTCCTGACGCGGTAACGCTCTGCGCCGGGGCTGCAGGAGGGGAGTCCCCAGGAGCTCCCGGGCTGCTGCCACCCTGAGCCCAGCCCTGGCGGCAGGCTTGCCCTCCTGCCCACCTCGCTGCCAGGAGCTCCCTTCTGTGTGCCTGTGCAGGCTGAAGCGATACATGAAAATGAGAAAAGATACACGTGGTTTGGTCCTGGCACCAGACTCCACGCCCGCGCTCTCTCTCTCTTGCTCACTCACTCTTTCTATTTTTTAATTGTGGCACCAGGAGCCACACTCAGGGCCGTGTGCTTGCCAGGCAGGCAGGGCTGTGTTGCTGAGCTACGTCCCCCCCTCAGTTGTTCCAGATCACCCATACTCCTTTCTCCTCTTGGTAACAATGCCTTGATTTCCCTTTGGGGAAACTGCCCCCTCCTTTCCTCTCTTTAAAATTTTTAATGATGGTGAAATAAATGTACAACATTTTAAAATTATGGCAAGATATACAATGTAACCATTTCAAGTGTTCAGTTCAGCAGTGTTGAAAACATTTTTCTGTTGCACACCTAATCCCCTTTCTTCTTACGAAGTCAGATTTAAGCAGGGCATGGTGATACACATCTATAATCCCAGCATTCTGGGAGGCTGAGGCAGGAGGACTGCAAGTTTGAGCCCAGTCTGGGCAATTTAGCCATATTCTGTCTCAAAATAAAAAAAAAAAAAAAAAAAAAAAAAAAAAAAGGCCTTGGGTTCAATTCCCAATACTGCCAAATAATAGTAATAACAGTTATCATTCTAGTTTATTTCATTTGATGCCAACTCCTGACTCCAAGAGGGAGCCTACAGTAAGGCTGGACCTATTCCAGGTTCCTATTTCCCTGCCACAGTGACTGGTTTATAACAAGCACACGGTGAAAGCTGAGTTCCTGAGAATTG